AACGCCCTCAAATTACGTCCAATTACAAAAACAAGCTTCTTCGATAAAAGCCTTATTAAAACAGCGCTCAAAAAGCCCCCCGAGCCCGCTAAATTCTGCGATAAATCAGGTTTTAAAAGCCTGTCAAATCACAATGCATTCGGCAGCTATTCTTGAGAAGGAAGTTAGTGATTTACGCGCTGCAAACGAGAAGAAGAGGCAAAAAAAGGCTAGATCTACAAGGCAGATACTTTACGAAGGTGGCCTTACAGTGAAAGAGGCATCAGACCTGATATCCCAGCCTATACAGGCTAATTCAGCGCCAGTATTAGGTGAGGTAAACCAGGGTTTTTTACCTTCATTACCACGTACGAGAGCCCCACCGAGATGCTCAGATTGTGGAATCCTAGGTCATAAGAGAACTGCATGTAATAAGGGATCTCGCGTATAGTTTAATGAATTTATTAGCGTTTTGGTTGAGATAGATGCATTAATAATGATGCGTTTTTGGTGGGGTGGCCACTCGGTTGTGGTGGCCGCTCGGTTGTGAATTACGTTACGTCTTGAAGGTTTAGGCGGTGTAAAGAGCATTCACATTTGGCCTGACCCGGGGAGATCTGTCCTCGTAAGTACAAAGATTTCCTCCATGCGAAGCGACAATGGACACTCCTGCAATAAGCCGCAGTCGCTCACAGGGTAATTCCCAACGTTCTACTACTGCATGCCTGAGGTGTAGGAATCAAAAGGTGATTTGTGACTCCCCGTCTTCCGCGAAACCACGTCCCTTACTAAAACACAATAACTGCTAGCTCAAGTGTAGCCGTGATCGCACTGTATGCGCCCGATGCAAGAGACTTCATGCTACATGTATCTATCCGGAACCTCCAAATCGACGGACAACGAGAGATCAGCAGAGCTCCCAGCATACGCGCAGAACGGCTGCCCGCAGCCGAGAGCAAGCTACTGGTGGATCCCCTGTCATTCACAACAATTCTGGCCATGATTCACCAATTCAAGATGGCCCAACCCCTGGTAGACATACATTTATCGCCATGTCAGGCTGTCCAACTAACAATCTGGTAGCCTCTAGCTATACGGAAAGCAGTAAGAATCATGCCTCCTTTCCTAATGGTGACCGATCAGGAGACGAAGCTAGAAGCTTAAGCGGAGCAAGTCCAATTTTGTCTGATGTATGTCCAGGGGCATTCGATGTCACAAAATGTGCTATATGCATGATTTTGAATAATAAACTGACCATTCATGCTCAAGACATACCCGAATCACTTACGCAATATGATCTCTAACACTACAGTGTTGCCTCGTGACTCTGACCAACCCGCTTTGCCATCAATAGCCATCGGTCTGCCATTGCTTGAGATTTATTTTACTCGGATATACAATGCACCACTGCTGTTCTACAAACCCGCTATTTTCCAACAATATCTAGAGGGAAAAGTTCACGCGGTCTTACTCAAGGCCATCTTTGCGCTGGCTGCACTGTATGTTATCTGCCTTTTTGCGGGGCTACTAAGCTAACAATTGTTCAAAGGTTTCTTCACCCACAAAACGAATCCAGCAAAACGTATGTACAGCAACCATATGAGTTGAAGCTTTTAAGTGCATATCAATCAAACGGTCTGCCGTGGGCCAATTTCGCCACAAAAGAGGCAATGCACTTGGTCTTGGAGAATCCATCTCTCATGGTTGTTCAAGCGCTTGAATGCCTACAGCTTTACTGGTTTAGCACTGGGGAGCCTAGGAAAGGCAGCTTATGTCTTGGTAAGCCTTGAGCCCCGAGGATGGTCCTTCGTCATAGCCTAGATTCTATTTCCTATGAAAGGAATCTCTAGTTGACGTGTTAATAGCAATGGCTTATCGCTCCTGCCATCTTCTTGGGTACAGTAACAAGATGATTGGCGATTACAAACAATCTGATACATCATTGGAATCAGAACTTGGCCGACGATGCTTCTGGGCTTGCTGGATATCCACATCCATAATCATGGAACCAGAACCGTACATCAGGTCAGCTTGGGAAGAGGTTGCCATGTTACCACTTCCTAATGCTATATCACATACACCATCCATAAGCCTAACGGAGAAGATGGACCAGAATTGGTGTTCAATTCTTGTTGAATCTCCCAACTTAAACCACATCCCGCTCACGGCATCAGCATTCTTAGCAAAGATGGTGGGTGTCTGGTAAGAAGACGATCTACCTACAATAGCTCTTCAAGTACTGAGAATGATTCATTTACATTTCATAGGGTCAAGGTCCAACTTTTTGTTTCTGACTACACTTTCTCAACAACAGCCCAAAATCTCGATAATGCACGAAGACTATCGCGCTTGGCAACCGCGCTCTTTGAAGACGCAATTTCTACAAGGGACCAAGGTTGTAGAGTCGATGTAGCCTGTGAAAGCAACCTTCTAATCCTTGTCCATGACACCCTTTACCATCAATGCCAAATTACCTTGCACTCGATGGTCGTCCCGTTGTTTTCTCGTATGCCCACTGATCCCGCAATCAGTCCTCAAATTCGAAAGAAAAGCGCTGAAATTGTCATACATCATGCGGATTTATTTGAAGACCTATTGGCTCCTTACTTTAGGGGCCAAAACGATGTCACATGCATACCTCCTCTGGTTGGTTATGGTGCTTTCGTTATAGGTACATTGTTCTTGGCGATTACGATCTCCTGTCGAGGCGAAGAATATGATGAAACGCCTGTCGAAGCGCACACAACAAATCGCAGATTGGCTACTGTTGAATCTATTTTGCATTTATTGGATGCTCTTCGAGTTTATTGGAGACCCCTGCAACACCCAGTAAGTATACTTTACTGAACTCGCTGCGCTTTACTCACTATTTAATCTAGTGGGAAAAGCTCCATGCCGCCCTGCAGGCCGTTTTGCGGGTTGATATCTCTACAAATAGAAAGCTATCCCGATGTGCCGCGGCCCCAGAAAACACTCTTTCCGCCACGGGTGATACAAGAGCCTTGGAGGGTAGCTCCGTCGAACCTACTCGCCCTTTAAATTCAGCCCATGGATATTTTGTCACTGCCCGGCAGCCCACAGTTCGTGACAGCCATGGCCAATCAACATATTCCTCTCACGAACAACCATGCCCCTGGGTGATAGACGCACCAGAAGCCCATATTTTGCCGCAAGACACATTTGTATCCAGAGGTAACGGGCACGACTCGCAGCAACAGGCTACAATGGGATCTCAAGGCATATCAACGTCACTTCCCAGTGCTTTGCAAGATGATAGCTGGTATAATTTACCCTTTGCGGAAGTGGGTGTCGAGTTTGCTGGACTTGAGCCTTCTACCCTCTTTCAGCAAGGGTGGGGAATATTTGGCTAAGCAATTCTGCCCATTCTGCCCATCCTACCAACGTGTTCAATACATGATTGATTCCAGTGCTTGGTCCACCAAAACCGTCATTTCATGGGCCGTACGGAACCAAAGAATCTCGCTTTTTAACGGTTCCCGGCCGATTTGAACACGCGAAACACCATAGTAAATGCGATATTCTACGACTTGATTTTTCAAGACTCAAGGCTTAGCATTAGGTCTAAGTCTATCCTATCACTAGATATGCCTCGCTCAAGACATTTATCAGGTTAACAAGAATTTTTAAGGCTTCACACTCTTGAGATATATATCGGCGTACTAGACCAATGTGAAGGGCTGAAGCCAAATTGATTTAATACTGACTTAGCCAACATTCTGTTTACCAAAAGCTTGGAGAAGAGAATGAAATGGAACAAGCGGAACAGCGGGTCTAACCCGTCACAACCAGAGCGTATTCTTGGTAATGCGAGTAAATGATAATTTTTTGTGTACCTTACTTATGCCATGCTATTTTTCATGCTCAGAATGCTATACTATATAATACCGAAGAAAACTACTTTCTCATTGTTGATAGTACTGTGACCGAAGAAATTACATTTTTTGGTATGACAGTATGACGCTCTGGGGTGTCTAGGACAGCTGGGTGTCTGGGGCCGGGAATTACCTTATGAGACATTTAGTTAATGTACTCCACGGCCGAGCTGTCCACCTATATCGCATAGAGAATGGCCATTTTCCGAAACTGATATCTCAACAACAACCAAGGACTTCATGTGTTCTATTTTCAGACGACATCTTGAAACTGGCCCCATTCTATTAGTCAGGTACCCAATACCAGTCAATACCTCAAAATCCTCGAACCGACACATTCTTCCACTGGTTTTGTATAGAAATTTGGACGTATTCGGGCGTAGAGCATCATCGTACCACATTATAGGAGACCTCGACGATCTCAACAAATTTTCACAATCTTCAATTCATCACCTGTTGAAATGGATAGCCCGAGTGATCTGTGGGACGCTGAATTTTTGGCTCAATATTTTTAACTGATGAGACCAATTGAAACTGGATGGAATATCGCAATCTCGAATATGAGAATGTGGAGCAGTTACTTACGGCTGCCTCCTATTCGTCTTCTTCGTCCCCCGCCTTTCTTTATGTTTTGTAAGTGATTACGGGGTTCCGAGACAGTACTTCCATGTCGATCTCGAGTATCCTATGGGTCCTCTAAGACACGGAGGAATTATTCCCATCGACATATCAACAATGGACCAACTCTGCAGAGGCGTATTTAACATATCCTCTGCGTACCACTCATTTTATCAACAATCAATCAATCGCATATTTCTGATGGTTCCGGTAGTTCTCATTCGCCAACAAATTTACTAGTTCGTACGTTTTTAGCTGGTTCTGACAAAATGTTATCCGAAGATTCGGGGGCATTCAGCCCATGCCGGGGTCGGAGTCGGAGTCGGAGTCGGAGTCGGAGTCGGAGTCGGAGTCGGTCCACCGAACAGTACCGTGACCGTTTTCATCTGATGATTTCATACCGAATTTCGACCCTCCCGCTGTCTGTTAAATTGAGCTAGTTTTCTCTCTTTTATTTTTTTCTCTTGTCTTCTGCCAGACTCACTTGCGAAGCACGAGCAACATACCAAAATGTCCAGTCAATTTCGAGACATCAAGACGGTCGACTCCACGAACCACTCGTATACTTTTGAGCAAAATGTTTCCGTGCCGCTGAGCAACGGTAGTGTCTTACGCTGCAATGTGTACAAACCGAAGGCTGCTTCGGCAGAGAACCCATTTCCCGTGATTCTCACATATGGCCCATATGGCAAAGATGTTTCCTATCTGCAGTGAGTGGCTCAAACATATTCGTAGGTTCTAACCCCGCTAAGTTCTCTCAAACACAAGGTTCAACCCAAAGAGTTTCGCAGAAGTCGACCCAGCTCATCAAACAGAGCACTCTGCATGGGAGACTCCAACACCTCAGTACTGGACCGATCATGGTTACATTGTAATCCGAGCGGATGAGATTGGTATCGGTCAATCGCCTGGTGTGCTGCACGTCACTTCCGCAGCCACAATCGATGGAATGTGCGATTTAATTGAGTGGGCCGCACAGCAGCCTTGGTGCACTGGAAAGGTGGGCCTACTCGGCGTCAGCTACTATGCTGGCACGCAATGGCAGGCTGCAGCACGTCAGCCTAAAGGTCTGACGGCGATTGTTCCTTGGGAAGGATTCTCCGATCCGTACAGTGAATCATTGCGACATGGTGGAATCCTCTCAAACAAATTTCTTGACATGTGGTTCAATCGCCAAGTCGGACCGAACCAATTCGGGCTCCCTGGCCGAGCAGCGCGCAACTGGGGGCCTGATACAGTTGATGGTGATCTCTCCACAGATGACTTACGTGCAAACCGACATAAGGTCGATCGAAATGAGCTGCGATTCCGAGATAGTGAGGAGCAAGCAGCCGTCAATATTAACTTACAAGACGTCAATGTTCCTGTTCTGAGCGTGGCTAATCTTGGTGGGCTGTTACTACATCTACGAGGAAATGTCCTGGGATACCTCTGGGCGGGATCGGAATTTAAGTATCTCCGCTTCATCGTGGGGCGGCACGACTTACCATTCTACTATCCCGAGGAAGTAGAGGTACAGCGGAGCTTTCTCGATGCTTGGCTAAAGGGACAGGATCGAGAGGGGTGGACCAAGAAGGGGTCTATGCCTCCTGTTGATCTTATCCTACGCAAGGGGAACGTGGGATATAATGACCCTATCGCAGAGAAGCGCTACCTTCGCCGCAAGGAAAACGAATGGCCATTGGCCAGGACACAATATACCTCCCTTTTCCTAACCGCAGATAGGGGGCTTCAATTCGAAAAGCCATCCCTGCCATTTCCCAAAAAGGTTAGTTATCGGGCTCTTGGGAACCAGCAAGACCTTTCCAGCATTGTGACATTCCGTTCAATGGCATTTGAACATGAAACCGAGATCACTGGCCATATTGTGGTCCACCTCAATGTTTCTGTCAGTAGAGATAGGTATGGAACCACGCCCTCTGACATCGACTTGTTCATTTCTCTGCGTCATCTGTCGCATTCTGGCGAAGAGATCTGTTACACGGGCACCGCCGGGGAGCCTGTTCCAGTGACCAAGGGATGGCTTCGTGTGTCTCTGCGAAAGACAAATCCTCAGCATCCGCGCCACCGCCCCTGGCTGCCTTACCGTGACTATTACTCCACCGATGTTCTACCTGTCATTCCAAGCGAGGTATATCCCGTCGATGTGGAAATTTGGCCGACGAGTGTGGTTGTCGAAGAAGGTGGTCGGTTGGTTTTGGAAGTGAGCTCGGAAGACACCGCAGGGACTGGATTCTTTGGCCATGACGACCCCACTGACAGGTACGCTTCCAAATACAAAAAATGGGTGTTTGCTTTTCTAACCGTTCTACAGGTCGGAGGCTGTTTTCAAGGGTCAAAATCATATTAACTTCGGTCCTGACTACACCAACTACGTCACACTTCCCATCATTCCCAGTGAATGATTGATCCCTATTACGGTCCACAGATAGCTCTTGTTGATGCCAAATACTTAAGGCATTAACATACTATTTAGACAGCTCTCTCGCCCTCTCTCCTTCCCTTCCTCATGCTTAGTTTTTTCGTGAAATGCTATTACATTGGTTGATCTTCTTCGTCTCGTACCTAAGCGTAACAGGGCCCAAGTTAGGAGCCCTTGGGTCTTTTCGCCCATGGGAATGGAAGGACAGATAGAGAAACAGGAAATAGTAAAGAAACCGGCCAAAACTAGGCAAAGCAACGAAAGTTTTAAAAAGTAGGATCTCGAGCTTCTGAGATTCCGTGCATTCTGCCCCGCTCAAGTTGATTCCTAATCAACTTGATCTTCTCGTTGCATATATAGCCTCATTAACAATGTTTATTCCCTCTGGTACAATTGAAATAACTGATCTTCCTTTGAATTAATCACTAGTTAAAGTACGGACAGAATAGAGTTACATAGCATTTATCACTTGTCAAAGATTGACGAAGCTGCCAACGAATCATGTCAAAAACCTTCACTTTTATAGCTGCGTATGAAGAATAGCTCTACTAAGATGACTGAAACGCCACTAGATTAAGTACTAAGCTACACCCCGTTCTTCTTGCCCTCCTTTGAACCAATAGTAGCCTCAAACTATGCCTTATTTGCTTCACTCGTTGGCTTTTGAATCAAACTTCATTAGTTAGGCCTCTTTATATTTGTAAGTATACTTGCGCTTTTTTCTCTATAATAATGGCACGTATAAGAATATAAATCAATCGTCTAGTTAAATATAGATCGATTACGAGATATCCTAGAAAAGACCTTAATTTAGCTAGATACTGTTACGCACTTGCTTCCGGGTCGTCGCTATATTAGAAGATTCCCTAGGTTATAGTTGCCTGTCGTGCTGACTTCCAACCTCAACGATCTGTCTCTCAACCGTACCGCTGCCTAACAGGCCTTATACGGGCTAAGTCCTTTTGAGGGTATCGAGGAGCGATGCCAAGTAGAGCGCCGAGTTAGTCTATACCGAGATATAGGCCTTCCCGTGGTGTTGTCAAGTTATAATCAAGTTATACGAGTCACAAAGGTTTCTGAACAGTAGACACAAGTAACAATGGATGATTGAACACGAAGAACTAGACTAGATACATGAGGTCCTATATATATCCCGAGTTCTTCCTGTAGATGAGTAGAAAGTAGAACAGTAGAACTGTTCTACTCGACGACTTGTCGACTGTTCTACTACTCGCATGATCACGTGATAGTCGTATCATTGGTTATTGCGGTATAGATCTGATCGGCGCCCTACTTGGCATCGCTCCTCGATACCCTCAAAAGAACCTAGCTCGTATAAGGCCGTTTAGGCAACGGTAAAGTTGAGGGACAGATCGTTGACGTTGGAAGTCAGCAACCAGGCAAGTATAACCCAGAAGTCTTCTAACATAGCGACGACCCGGAAGCAAGTGCGTAACAACACACTGATACATCTGTTATGTAATGGAAAAAGAGTGCTTGGTCAGCTGTAGAAGGGTCACATGAAGTGCCAAAATAAGTTAAATTAGCGAATTTTATGCTAGTGCGGACATTCGTTGGATGTCCGCGGATATGACTTGGACATCCAACGGAACGGATTTGCCGCAGCCTAGCCACTAATGCCCAGATTCGGCGAAAATCACGTGAAAAGTTCCGCTGTCCGACCGGTCCGAATTGCTATTCGGCCACAAACGTTATAATTAACGACTGATTGTGCCCTTTTCACAATGCTCATGCTTCTCCAGCCCTATATAATTATTGGAAATTCCAACGACACAGTCTTTCCGAAAGTCAGCGCCCCTCCTGTTCTTTTCCCTGTTAAGCCCGAGCCAAGCCCATTCGGTTCATTCGGTTCATTCGGTTCATTCGGTTCATTCGGTTCATTCGGTTCATTCGGTTCATTCGGTTCATTCGGGCCTATTTCGGGATTTTATAAACTCTTATCACGCCGAACGGACCTCGTATTTCTGTCGGAGAAGGCCTATCTACTATGGACAAACAATCGCAACTTGAGCTCACGGGAAAAGAATAAAATTAATTACAGGAGGCGATTCTCAAAGGCTGTCCTACCGAGGACCCAGCCCGTGTGATCCAAGGAAGGTCAAAGGGTGCCTGAATTTCTATTCGTAGACTAACTACATATACTACGTGCGGCCGAAAGGGTCCGCACGTGACCGAAAGTGGGAGAGACGATAAACCGCCTTCCACACTGACCGGCCAGACCTCGGCCGGATTGGTGCCTTAAGCAGAAGAAGGTTGTCACGATTTGTACTGTATCCGGCCAATTGGAGATGTAAATGACTCTGTATTTCCATTACCCCTACTTCTCGCTATTTATGGGTCCATTCTAGTTACATAAGCTATGCCGACGGATCATCTATAGACCCGGTTTCATGCAGTATTCGTAAGGTAATTGCGACAAAGGTCCCGAGATGTCACTTTCAAGGATAATTAGGGGCAGAAAATTTAGACCACCTTTATATATTCTGTCTGTAATGTATGCACCGGTGCCGTTGATGTAGGAAGAAGCTTTCTATTTACAATGGCGCTCAAATTGATTCAGCTATGGCTGTAGTCGATGCTTCAACCCGAGCGCTAGGTGAAAGACCACGATTTCCGCCCAAAAGGCAATACACCGAGACAACTTCGAGTACTCACCTTAATCATGTTAATTAAAATCCCAACAACTCATGAAAATTCTAACCTCCGCCGAGTATTCAGAATAAACTCGGCAACCCGTTGACGTCCGAATTGTCTCCGTGCCGACTCCGAACCGAATCCGTTCCGTCTATCAATCCCGAGAAGCCCAGGCACAGTAGTCAGTCGCCCTGGCTCTCGGGAATGGAGTGTGTAGATCGCCCAATTAGATAGTCACTAAGTCTAATAAGCGAGGAAGAAAGTTTTATCCCGGCAATGTCGGGTACTAGCGACAACGTCGACCCGAGGAAACAGAAAACGGCCTAAAAGTTATGATTTGGAACCGTATTTGAGCTGATGGTCCGTGAAAAAAAATCCCGCAATCAAGTTATTCAGGAAGGCCGAAGATTGTTCCTGGCCTGGGAATACATAAAATTGCTTGGCACGACACATCTCATCTCGGTATCTTAGTTACCGATCGTTTTCGAGCGAAAATAAATGCTTAGATGACCGATGCCGAGCGGGCCGCTATTGTTAAAGAGCGTGATGTTCCATAGAAGACAACCATCTTCTGGATCCGAACCGCTTTCTTCCATTCACGTCAACTTTGATTTTCAGGAAGATTACCAGTGTTCACAATCACTATGCGCTTCTCAATGTCTCTCATGCTGTTGAGCGCGGGTTCTCTTCCCGTATGTCTCTTTGCTCGTTCTCCAGGAGAAGTTATTAACATCTTTATAGGTCGCCTGGACGCTGCCAACCCAGGCCTACGCGCCGAATATTACAGTCACAAATGCAACTACGGCAATGTACCAACTAAGCAGCGATTCCGAGTTTGCATTCATCCTCAGCGAGTACCTCTCCCTCGCTAACGAAGGAGGCGCTGCGTCAGGAGAAATCCTTCGTGCGGCTGCTGTCATTGAGGCTGGAGACTTCGAGAGCTGGTACAAAGAGTTCACGTTTCTCGCGGAAAAGATTGGCGCTCAAGCAGAAAAGGCTGAGAAGAACAAGGCTTTGGTTTCTGCCAGAGAAGCCTACTTCAGGTCGTCATCCTACTACCGCGCTGCTGATTTTTTCCTGCATGGCAACCAATCTGATCCGAGAATTTACACGGTGTGGGACAAGCAGAAGGTGGCCTTCAATAAGGCTGTCGGATTGCTGTCTCGTCCTGGGACTTTTGTCGAGCTTAAGGCTGATGGCTTCACGGTTCCGGCCTACTTCTACCCGGCCAACCCCCAACTTCCTGCCAACCAGGGTGCCCCAAAAAGGCGCCTTCCAACTGTCATTGTCGGCACTGGGTATGATGGATCTCAGCAAGCCATCTATCACAGCAACTGTCTTGAAATCATTGAACGCGGATGGAACTGCATTACCTACGAGGGTCCCGGGCAGCCTACTGTTCGCCGAGACCAGGACATGGGATTTATTCCCGAGTGGTGGGAGGTGGTTACACCGGTAGTTGACTACGCGCGCGCGCGACACGATGTCGATATTGACAAAGTGGCCCTTATGGGAGTCTCCTATGGCGGTCTTTTGGCACCACTTGCAGCAACAAAAGAACGCCGTCTCGCGGCGGTCGTTGCCCTTGACGGCATGCTCAGCCTTAAGCGTGCTGTCCTAACATTGTTGGGCACTCAAATTACAGAACTCTATTCTTCAGGCAACGAAACAGAGTTTAACAATTACATGACCGCTGCCCTTGCGCAAGACGTCCCAACCAGCTTCCGCTGGCTCATCGAGCAAGGAATGTGGTCATTCAATACGACGGATCCTTACACTTTCATCTCACGCATGGGTGATATTTACCTCGACAAGGAGAAACTTGACAAGATTGAATGTCCCGTCTTTGTGGGGTCCGGAGAGGATGATAACCTTGCGCCGGTACAGCCCGAGGAGATGGCGAGGTTATTGGGTCCAGAGAGGTCGCATTACTTCTTGTTCAAGACCGAGCTGGGTGCTGGAGAACACTCCGGGCTCGGAGGTGAGCAGCAAATTGCACTTGAGTCGCTGATTTGGCTGGATAAGGTCTTTGAAAAATAGGGCAATGGATCGTTTCATCCATAACTGAGCTCTACACTTGGATGTGCAAGTTTCGGTTCGGTTAGATTTGGGGCAGCATCGTTGTGTTCGAGAGCTTACAATAACATGTTAGTTTTATAACTAAGCACTGTCTCGAAAGTAATGGTCACAACGAGAAAGGAGTTGTTCTAGCAGACCATCAAGCTACTTGGCGCAAGGTGGCATTCCATATGATTTGCAGAGATCCACCATTGAATTTCATATAAATCCATGGGCTTCCTTTCAATACGCTATCGCATACTACTTTAACATACACGGCGCATTTACTGAGCTCCCTCAGTTTAGCGGGGCCTGCTCAATAAATGATCTACGCTTAGGTCTTGGCGGTGGGGCCTGGAAAGAGAGTGTATATCGGTCAAGCCGATTTCGAGAATAACTGTAGCCGCGGCTTGCCTACGATCGAATAGCTCCTCAGCCTGGTCATTATAGCACTAGATTAATACATCGTATTCAGCGGTCAGCTATGTACTTGGCCGCTAAAGCTGACCCTACTCTTATTCGAGCTACATATTTAGTGCAGAATCGACGATATAACATTTCTATAAGCGGATATACCAGTCGAGAAAGGCTGATGATGGGAGCCGCAAGGGAGATATGATGACCTAGAATATATTTCACAAGTGTGTTAAATAGATCTTAAAATTCTTTCATAATGTAGCATGTGGCGTATCTACCAGGGCACAGTTATAACTTTCAACGTTGGCGTTCACGGTTTATTGAACTTGAAATGCCCTCACAATCAAGTTGATTCAATGTTCACAATTGGCCCCGTCGTACCCTGCCCTTTGGCCATTGACCTCGACTGACCTTGCCTCAAGTCGTTGCATTTAATCCATAGCCTCCGAAGACATCCGATATGACCTTTGCAAGTGACCATGGGACGCAGACCTCGATCGCGTCCGTCGCGGATTTCGATATTCGGCTGGGGCTTGATCAACTTTCCTTTGCCTGCAACACGGCGTATGTTAAGGCACTTTTTTTCTCCCGATTTTGCATACGAAGGCCAATCTTCTGATGAATGAGCAGTAGTTCAAGAACATCTAACAATCCATATTGAAGAGCCCTCATCAAAGGAGTCTTTCCACGCAAGAATGTGTTGGCATCGGCACCATATAATTACCATATTCCTACACCACACCTCATAGCCAAACATGGGAGTAATTTTCTGTTATAGAGACCAATCACTAGTCATTTGAGGGTTAGCGTCGCCGTAAGTAAGGCTCCGAGAAAGAAAGTGTGTCTGGGTTGTAACCTGTTTTCGAAATTACATGTACGAGAAATATTAAGAAGAAAGATTACCGTAACTCACGGTCACCCTGGCTACCTCATCAGAAAACGCGTCAACCTACCAACCTATCAAATTACCAAATTCAACCAACTACCATACCACCAGTTCGCTCTGAATCCTCGCAGAAATCGGCTAATCAAGAGGGCAAGGATTTGATTAGCCCTTGATTATATTAAAAATGGCCGAATCAAATCTCTTCGCGCAGCAGCAAAGCTATATTATGAAGAAATGTCTGAAGTACAAAACAGTTGAAATTTGTCAAATTCTATAAATAGTGTTTCAAGGTGTTTTGCACCTAATTGAATTCATACTAACGAAATCCCACGCAGTAACCTACGTACGCGTGCATCTGAGGTAGTCTCTATCGCAGAGAGACGTAACCCTAGTCACAAACTGACCCAATTAGAAGAGGATTCACTTGTTGATTGGATTATCTCTATTGATACGCGTGGAGCAGACCCTAGGTCGTCTACTGTAGGCGATGTGGCTAAAATCCTACTGGCTGCGCGCGGTAGCTCCCCTCCGCTGACGGTTGGCAAGAATTGGCCATCAAACTTCGTTAATCGTCGCGATGAGCTTCGGACACGCTACTCCGTGCGATACGACTACCAGCGCACATTGAACGAAAACCCAGAAGATCAACAAACCGGCTTTGCGACCGTGCAAAGCATGATTAACGAACACGGGATACAACCGTAGGATATCTACAACCTTGATGAGACAGGCTTTGCAATGGGCCTTATATCCTCGCAAAAGGTAGTTACGCTAGTTGAATACTACGGTCGGAGACGTCTTCTATAGTTAGAAAATCGCGAATGGGTCACTGCGATCGAAGGAATTTGTGCAGATGGTTATTCGCTATCACTATATGTGATTTCAAAGGTAATGTTGCTATTGCTATTTGGTTCGATAACCTACCGAAAGACTGGTGATTTGAGGTCTCGGATAACGGTTAGACTACTGATAAGATTAGCCTACGCTATTTACAAAAGATCTCTATCCTGTTAACAAATTTGCGCGTACGCGGCCGGTTTCATTTATTGATTCTTGTTGGTCATGGTAGTCACCTTGAACCTCAATTCGACCGAATTTGTACAGAAATCGATATTATACCACTGTGCATGCCGACGCATTTAGCTCATCTACTATAAACCATTAGATGTTGGGTGATTTGTAGTGCTTAAGCGCGCGTACGGTGGCTTCGTGAGCGATCTTGCCCGTGGGATATAACCATATCGACAAGGCTGATTTCTTAGATAACTTCTAACGCGCGCGACTAGAAGCATTTGAGCTAAATTATATTCGAAATAGCTTTATAGCTACTAGTCTAGTACCACCAATTAATACGGAGAGGGTCCTTTCAAAGCTTAGTATATCTATCCGAACACCTACACCACCAAGCAGCCGGCCAAGCAGCATATCTAGCCAATTCACACCAAAAACGCCTAGAATCGTCGTTCAGCTACAAAATAAAGCTTCAATGCTCAAAAATCTACAACACCGGCGGTAAAAAAGCTTTCCGAGCCCCATGACTGATCCGTCAAACAAGGCTCAGACCCTTGACATATATTCAGCTCAGGCGTGAGCGGTTGTGTCTCTTGACGACTTATCGGTCAAGTGTAAACATCCCAGAGGGCCAACCGGTCAGTGATGACCACAGTTAATCGACCGGTGGGACTTGTCAGCTGGCTATGAAGCTTGGGCAGCGTTGACTCAACCACAGTTTAGCAATATTCGTCAAATGACCATCTGAAGAATTGTCTCGTTCGACCATGCCCTCATACTTTGCAGCCCACCCTCTCGGCTGATGTGTCTAATTTCGCTTCTGCCGCTTGTTAGATGAGTCGTCCCAGTGATGGCTATGTGTTCTAGCCCATATGTGCGATCCAGTGGTCTTCCAGCTTCTGGTTTGAACCCACCCCTCACTTTCAACAAGCTAATTATCAACTGTTCAAGTCTCATTTTTGACCGAGCGACTGAACTAAGCGTTTATGATGTATCTCGGTCGTTGTGTCTTGCACCGTCATTTCCAACCATCAGATAATCCCGCCTGATTCAGAGTAACTTACAGACTCTTGACTGCCAATTCGATGGCGTAGAAACCAAATTTGTTCTCGCACTGATTCCCCTTTGACCATGACACTATGGGAGCGAACTTGGAAGAGCGTACAATCAACTTTCTGACATTGCTCAAATTTGAGCTGTGCTAGCGAACACAACTTTCATCTTGCAAGCTGTTAAGTGAGGAACGACGATTTGGGGATATGTGTTGACTGCAACAAGTGAGTGTGACAAGGAACACTTTCGGGTAAGCGCGGGTAAGCGTTTGGTCATGGCGACGATAAATAGCATCGACAGCCCCAGTCGAAATATTACATCTCATCATCTGAAACTATGCCTGTCATCTCTCGTCAGCCAACGCGTCACTTGGACGAGCTCGACGCTATGCCCTTACTTGGTCGCAGTCCTAGCAAGCAACCGCGGAAGCCCAAGGGTGCCAATAGTCTAACTGAATCGGTATTGCAGCGAGACCACCCTAAACTTCGACTGCGGTTTCAGCAGCGATGCTTGAAGCCGGAGACGTGGTGGACATCTCTTACCGCCTTTGGTGCCCATGGTGATATCTCGCACATGCTGGAACACGAGAAAGCCATTGCAACGGAGGAAACCCGACAGGAATGGATGCGACGTCTGCGGCCCATGCCTCACCGACTAAGCCCTCCATTGAAGCAAGAAAAACAACACAAAAGGAGCTAGATAGTTTCTGCGGGTCACAAAATGCTCTGAAAGGTCGACCCCTCAATCAATAAAGAAAACATATGATTCAGAGTACACATTGGACATAGAATTTTCCCTGTATGGTATAAATGTAGATTCGAAATCAGCTTTGTCGCTTAGTCTCTTGTATAGTTCAGTTCATCCTGTAGGGTCAGTCATCAAATCGACAATTGAATGAAGACCGAAAGTGTTCTCTTTAGTTGATGTTTAAATACTACTGGATGGATCGAGATTAGTTTCACCACTTGCGCACTGGGATTCTATCTCCCCTGAACTCCTGTCTTGGCAGTAACTCAATACACCTGTAAATAACAGCATACATGTAAGAATAGCTTCTGCCATAGACCTCCATGGTTCTGAGTCAAACTTCTAGAAACCCTAAGAACGAAACAGGGGATGCTGGGTCTTAACATAGAAAATACAGAAAATACACGTGACTTGGTACGCTCGCAGTCTCTGGAAGCTTGGGGCCATGACACATTACTTGCTTCTTATCGGGCGGGAGCGGACTGATTACCGCGTCCTGCGCTTTATTTCAAGTTTCCTGGCTCGGTCAAACTAGTTCTCTGGAAGGGAGCTGATCATACGAACCCTCTTTCAAGATACGCTATAGACCTACCAGAGTCGATATCCTGATCCCCGCTCTTGGAAGTATTGTAACGATAGGCTAAGAATAAATCACGTAGGAATCCTGCAGTGTATTTAGTATTTGAGCCGCTACATTTTGCAAACAAGCTAAACTGAAGGACATTCCTGTGACGTTATCATTACGGAAAGAATTCTAGCGATAGTCGGTAACCCGGTATTGAGTGAAGTCGCTTTGTGTCGACGAGGGAGACCAAACCTTTCGATAAGTTTTGTGCATCAATATTATGCGGGGATGCTCTAGGGAGTATAATAGCCAATGAAAACCGATAGTCCGTTTGATAGATATGGATAATCTGCCAATAAGATCGCGGAGTGTTTCTCAATGGTGGGTCCCATAGCTAGGTTCTTTGTTTGCTATGGGTGATTCTCTGTTAAGCAAACAAAGAGAACTGCGAGCAAGGATGTGAAAGGAGAACAAACGGAACTTGAGTCCCTGGTTCTCAGTGTTTCTCCCAAATCCCACTTTCAAATCTGAACCTCTCTATCCACAAAGTGCCGTCACTCACAAAATCCTGCAATGTCTAAGAATAATCTTCTTCGCGAGCTTTTGCCTAGTGATCAGAAATTCAACAATCAGTATCTGAATCTGACCTTGCCGGCAAAACAGCGACGCAAGGTCCCTTTGGCCTGTACCGAGTGTCAGAGAAAAAGATCTAAGGTTAGAATTATCGTCCTCCCTTCGACGACAGAGCTGACCTAGCGCAGTGCTCTGGTACAAACCCTTGTATGACATGTACAACTCAAAATCGCGAGTGCCTGTATGATCCAGCCCGTGATCGGAGACGCAAGACTCATACCGCTGAGCTACTAAACTTCCGTGTCGCCTTTTTCCAAATGACCGCGAAGCTGCGCTCTGGAACGTCGGAAGAGATATCCTCGTTGATTCAGGAGTTTCGAAATCTGCCAACCGACCAAGAAGCCGTCAATTATCTTGTTCATGGACACGGGATATCCAGCAATGTGTGATGCTCATAGATTCTCGACTTTCTCAATTCTAGAATATCAATACTGGAGATGAAAAATAGCTTGAGGACAAATTCATGTAGCCAGGTACTTCTCTTTACAGTACCTACCGTCTTTGGCAGGATTCGGTATTAGCATTTCGGCTAAGGCGAAATAGGTTTAGTGCGTTTCGGGACAGGGTTTGAGATAGAATCTCCGTGTGCAAGTGGTGAAACTAATTTCGATCCTTCCTGTACAGTATCATCCTGTAGTCAACCATACCCTTTGGCACTATAGAGAGAGCCGATAGCAGCCAAGCTCCTGTAAGCAGAGTGCACCCAGAGAAAGGATCCTGTACTGGAGAAATTGTTGTGCACCGAACGGAAGGGATGGCGGACCCACATGCGGGAGGGCCCGAGCCCCCTCGCACGCCTGGAATGACAACGACCAACGCGTTGGACAACTTTAACCCAACCGCTGCGCCTCGGACCAGAAGACAGGCTCGGCCGAGCGATGGCCACACCACCGCAACGCGACCCGAGACCACGAGCTCCGGAGACAACAATGGACGCGTCACGACCCGGGAAATCTGCCGACTGATCGAAGGCCTAAAAGAAACTATCGCCTACCAAACCGAGCTCATCCAATCCACCAAGAACGAACTGCTAGAAGTGAAGCACGACCAGAACGTCCTCCACACGCAGAACGAGAAACTTCACGAGGAAGTTCGAGCCTTGCGGGCGCATATTGACGCCCTCCCTTCACCACAGGCCGCAAACTCATGGGCCACAGTAGCAGCGAGCCACCCACCTTCTCAACCAAACCACCAGCACCCAGACAAGGACCAAGGCTGCGTCCGAACCAGCACTCAGCGCTCTTTTGTGGACCCTAGAGACAATGAAAGCAACGGACCAAACACCTTTGGGCGATATCTCCCAACGGAGACCGCAAACCTCCAAATCCGCACGGCGCTGTCGAACGCACCGCCCACACAAGACGCCCAAGTAGCCGGGGTGGGCACCACCAAAACTGGATATGTCATCCGGTTTAAAGACACAGAGTCAGCGGAAGCGGCCCGCAACAGCACAGAATGGCTGAACGAGCTAGGAAACAACACAAAACTGGTCAAGACGCGGTTCGGCGTCGTGGTACACCGGACCCCGACTGAGGACTTTGACCTCGAAAATGCAAACACACAGGCAATTGCGAAAATCATGAAAGACAACGACCTCACCGAACGAGGACTCCGGATCGAGGAGATTGCGTGGCTGAAGAAGAAAGACAAGGCTTTGGGGCATCACGCGTCCCTCGGCATCTGGTTCGACTCCGCGGAAGGGGTTGACCATATTCTAGGCAAGGGCTTTCTGGCCGGCCGGAGATTCATCGACAGCGTGGAACGCTGTGAACTAAAAAGAAAGAGATGCTTCCGGTGCCAACGATTTGGACACCTCGCATGGTCATGTAAAGAAACGCCTCGATGCGGGCATTGCGCTGGCCAACACGAGCGAGAACGCTGTCCCCCGGGCGTGAGAGCCCGATGTCTCGACTGCGGTGGTGAACACCCAACCAGCGATCGCCAGTGCCGAACGCCGGCAACCTCTAACACCCAATGTTAGAGACAAACCTACGCATTTTACAGTTAAACATCATGAAATCGGGGCCGAGGATGGAAGCGCTTATCAACGACCACCAAAACCAGGACCTGGATATGCTCCTGATCCAAGAACCGTCTATCACCACCTATCAAACACACGTTAACCACAGCGCCTGGCGACTATACCGACCGTCTGCCGAGACCGATGCAGGTCGGTTTCGCAGCCTGATCTATGTCAACCGTAAAGTCTCAACCTCTTTCCATCGACAGATCACCTGCGACCACCCAGACGTCACGGCAATCAAGATCTGGACAGCCGATGCTCAGTATCTTATCTTTTCGGTTTACCTTTCATGTGTCCCGCTATTTACGCCGGGTGAGGCGTCGGCAGAACCAGCCCTCACGGCAATACAGAACACAATCATATACAATACCCAGGAGGCCCAAAAGACAACAAGCGTAATTCTCTCGGGTGACTTTAACCGCCATCATCCGATGTGGGGCGGCAACCACATCCAGCCACAGTTTGTCGAACACGCTAGCGAACTAGTCAACTTCTTCCAGACGCACAACCTCCATGGTTGCCTTCCGCGAGGGACAGCAACTTTCTGGCCCCTCAACGACCCGGGAAAGAACACCACCATTGGCTAGACGGTAACGAACCGACCAAGCCTGCTCATCAAGTGCCATCTCTACCACGAGAACTATGGGTCAGATCACCGCGCAACATACTCAGAATGGAACCTAAGACCCCAACGTCAGCCCACCACTAAGTTTAAGAAAGCCTACGACCGTGCGGACTGGTACAAGATTGCCGAAGACGTACGTCGACAACTGGGCCCATGGAAGGAGGTGAAGACGAGACCGGCACTGGACGAGATTGTCGGAAAGCTCACAGAGGCGACGGCTAGAGCGGTGGATAGACACACCCCTGACCTGCGACCAACACCATACTCCAAACGCTGGTTCACCCCAGCTCTTAAAATACAGCAAATCGAGGTCAATCAACTACGCCGGACGTGGCAGGAAAGCTGTGCAGATATTGGGCGACACGACGCCCGCTCCGCGACCCTCTTTCGAGAGATGCAAGACAAACGGCGACTATGGACCCGGGCTATCGAGAAGGCGAAGGTGGCACATTGGAAACAGTTCCTTGATGAAGCCGGGAAAGGGAAGCTCTGGAAAGCAGCCACCTATATGAAACCACAAGAGGCCTGGGGCTGCGTGCCGGCGTTGCACGTCGGTGCCGAGAAGCTCATAGAGAACGAGGAGAAAGCGCAGGCTTTCCTAGGCGCCTTCTTCCCGCAAATGAACGAACCCGACGAGGACTGGCACACCCGGACGCCTCCAGAACTCCCGTGGTATACCATCACCGAGCTAGAGGTCCAGCGATCCTTAAAAGCTGCAAAGGGATCATCAGCACCTGGCGAAGATGGCATACCAATGCTCGTGTGGAAACAATTGTGGATATACCTCAAGAAACAGATAACGGAAATCTACGCCGCGTCCATTAACTTAGGGTACCACCCGATGCGATGGCGAAGCGCGAAGATTGTGGTGCTGCGGAAACCCAAGAAACCAGACTACTCGGTCCCTGGGGCCTATCGCCCGATCTCACTCCTCAACACACTAGGTAAACTGCTTGAGGCAGTAATGGCACGACGATTGTCGTATCTTGCAGAAAAGCACGGTCTGCTTCCGGACACCCAGTTCGGAGGGCGATTAGGTAGAACCACTGAACAAGCCCTCTTGGTTCTCTCCAACGCGATTGACCGGGCGTGGTATAAACAGAAAGTGCTAACGCTGGTGGCATTTGACTTGAAAGGCGCTTTCAACGGAGTCAACAAAGTGAGCCTAGACGCTTGCCTTCGGGCAAGGAAAATCCCAACTGTGGCGAGAAAATGGATCGCGAGCTTTATGAGCGACCGCCACGCAAGCATTGGATTCGACGACTTTCGCACTGAGATGACGCCGCTGGCGAATGCAGGATTAGCACAGGGTTCTCCCCTGTCGCCTATCCTATTTGCATTCTTCAACTCCGACCTTGTCGACCAAGCCGTCACATTCCACGGCGGGGCATCCGCCTTTATCGATGATTATTTTCGCTGGCGAGTAGGCCGCTCAGCCGACGACAACCTGACCAAGATCCAGTCTGAAGACATCCCCCGCATTGAAGCATGGGCCCAGCGCACCGGGTCTTGTTTCGCAGCCGAGAAAACCGAACTCATCCACATCACCAGGAAGAGAAGCGAGCAGCTCCAAGGCCAAGTGGTTATGAACGGGAAGACAGTCGAACCGTCGTCCACCGCCAAACTGCTAGGAGTGATCTTCGACCACGAGCTCCGCTGGAAGGACCACATCCAGCAAGCGATCAAACGCGCAACCAAGGTCAGCATTGCTTTGGGTCGACTGCGGCATCTGCGCCCTGAGCAGATGCGACAGCTCTACCAAGCCTGCGTTACCCCGGTCGTGGACTACGCGTCAACAGTCTGGCACGACCCTCTACGAGACAAGACTCATCTCCGACATTTGAACACGGTCCAGAGGATGGTGTTGATCCGCATACTATCAGCTTTCAAGACGGTGGCCACTGCCACCGTGGAAGTAGAAGCACACATTCTACCAACGCACCTCCGTCTCCGCCACCGAGCGCAGAACACCATCGCAAACCTCCACACTCTGCCGCGCGACCACCCCATGTGGGACACACTGCGGCGAGCCCAAAAACGTAGGGACAACATCGGATCGTACGCTCGTTTTCCACTGGCGGAAGCCCTGAAGACCATGAAGCTCGAAAGATAGGATGAACTAGAGACGATCGACCCACGACCGCTACCGCCGTGGCGAACCGAGCCCTTCTCGGAGATTGAGATCCACTCAGACCGAGAGACGGCAAGGGCGCGGGCAGACGCCGTGCGCTCCACGTCCGCCACCGTGGTCTATTCTGACGCCTCGGGACGCGAAGGCCACCTAGGCGCTGCTGTCGCTGCACTCGACAACGACCACGAGGTTATCGAATCCCAGCAGATCCAGGTGGGTCCCATGGACCGGTGGTCAGTCTACGTAGCAGAGCTCATAGGCATCTTCTACGCTATCAGTACAGTGCTCAAGATCAGTCACCAGCGGCCAAGAACGGAACATAACGGAACAACAACGGCAACGATCCTCTGCGACAGCAAATCAACGTTGCAAGCAATCCAGAACAAAGGTTTCCAAATGGCGGGAATTTCCCTGCTTTATATACTCTATGTCGTTTAGCAGACTAAGTCTTGGGGAGCGAATGTGTTACATGACCGCGTGAGTAGATGTAAATCTGTAGATAGCTCGCTCCCTTGCCCTCTATCTCTCTTCTTCCTGTCTGTTTTAGCGCTTCAGACAGGTAATTCGAAGCCCAGGAGTAATTGATCCAGCTATACACGACTCCAAATTTGGAAACACAAACCAATGGATGATAGGGGCTGAAGATGTCAACAATTCTTTTTATGAGCGCATCAGACGCGACGCTAGGACAAAAGGGATCAGAAAACAGCGGGAGATGGATATCCAATTATTTAGCGCCTTCCACAATCCATCACATTAAAGCATGCTCAGATCCCACGAGGCAGACTCTTATGAATTCCAAAGTAGTTTGGATCAGCGTTAGAAGGACACTAGTGCATCTTAAAAACGGCATGAACTTACCCAGCAGACCTGACCAGTGGCTGAAAACACTACATCTTTGGGTTGCCTGATGAGGGTTTGCGCATTTATGCGCAAAACCTCATCAGGCAAGACGAGGCAGATATACTAAAACGATAAAATGGCGCCTGACCGGTTGGAGTAGACGCATTGGGATGACTCTTCGGATTGCATATTTGTCACATATATGGGCTACCCCGCTTTGTACCATGAAAGAAAAGCACGGACAGGTACGCAGGGCCATATTGGGAATTTTCAACTACTCTATCCATCTTTTTGGACTCTCCACCGACTATGTCTCAAAAAAAGCGGGTTTTTCAATTCGAAGGCAATGACAATGATTATATAGCGTTCCTTGAGAGTCAGCTTTCAGCTGCACTAAGCCAAGGAAACAGTCGGGTTTCTAGTGACTCGGCGACTTCGCTGTGCAATGCTTCCAGCAAACATATTGTCGCATTCTGAGTCGAGTAATCCTACGACTGCATTAGCGAACTCTCACCAGGGCACTTTGACTTTGACATCAAAATCGTCAACGAATCCTCAGCCCAGAGACCATCAAAATGGATGTTCAGTGTCTCAGGCTTCTTGCCCAAGCGGCCCTGGTTCGACTGAGTGTTCTCCTTTGCCGACTAGAGATGATCTCAAAATTCTCTACTATGACCCGATTCAAAATCGCGACATCGATCTTCCCGGCAACATTCTCTCCAAGCGGCCATCCTTTGAGAAAACGTCGGTTGTTGAGACCCAAGGCAAGAAGGAGCTCAGACATTTCATTGAAGAAATTACGAAGAATGATCATTGGATTAAGAAGAAGAAAGATCTTGGATTATCTCGCCCAGAAACCAATCAAAATACCATCGACGCCCTGTGTGGTGGACTGTTAGCCTCAAACCTGGACAATAAGTCAAACTTATACCCAAACGAAAACCCATCGGAATACAGCGCTTTGATTATGCGAGTATGCGACTATGGCGCGTTGGCAAAGGATAGAAAAATACAAGGAAATCTCCTCCTTCACATTGCCAAATACCAAGAGCTTGTGTTTGTGTCGTTATGTGTTGTCATGCTTGAAATTGGAACTCCGATTGAAAGTGTGGATTGGATGATGCGCCGGTATATCAGTGATACTAGCCCATCTAACCTCCGGCGACTTCGATATGGGTGTAAATGGGTAAATCGGTGCATTTCGAAGTTGTTGGAACGGAACTGGGGGTATTCAAGTTGGGAAGCTTTTCTATTATGTTGGTATTCTCATTGAAGGAGCTTCTTGATGCTGACCACTTCAAGTCCCGCGATCTATCCAACAATACGGAAGGTTTGCATACACGAAAAACAGTTACGAAACCTTCGTGACAGATATGGGGACACCCGATCTAGCACTTCCTCTCGCTGAGGATGGCTTCAGTCCGTACTGCCTTCCTTGTTTCATCAAGATAATCGCCGGCAATAATAAGTTAAAGTAAGTTGAGCTCGTGAATATTGATAAATACGTGCTTATTGATACAGGCTAGTTGATATTTGCAATAGTTTGGGCTATAGCATCCTACTCATTTCTCCGATATACGAGAACTACTTCAATAATGCCCCCCTGGACTTCAATCCTTTCACACATGCATACAGCGAACCCATCGTGGATTTCAATCCATTTACATATGCATACAACGACTCGGTGGTGGATTTCGACGCCTTCAACCAGGTGTTTCCTGGTGGCGCAGACCATTCGTGACACAAGGGAGGGAAAGAAACGGATGAAGCGTATAAGCCGGCAGGGAGGCTGACGAGAATGAACCCTGGTTTAGTAGCTACATGCAAGAGACAAAAGAAGAGATAGTAAGGTAAAAGCTGGAAGCGGAGTTATTGACCCATCAATTTGTCCCAATGCGATCAGCTTAGGCACATGTTAGCTATGGGAAAGGGCCGGGCGGCTTTCCTACATACCTTGTGATATGGGGCACAGCAAAGATAGCTGCGAGCCTAGGCTCAACTGTAACATTCCCATCGATTCTTCTCATCAAACCATGCTTGAAAGCACCTCCCGGCTCGCTTCTGGCTGATTCTGATATGTTGCAGATAGGTATAATGTTGACGGGGCCGGGTAAGTTCTCCCATTTGAAAGATGTGTGCCACATCCAGACTGTAAATTTCCAACCCTGAGAATAGAATTAGTAGGTCATCATCCATGGAAATTCCAACCATACTGGAAGGCCAACTGTTCTGAGAAGAGGCTGAACGAAAGGCGAAACCTCTTTGTGCTCATACTCGAGATTTCCCTTCCCATCGTCTTGGGACTTTATGCTGGAGAGTGCTAGTGCGAGAGCATCTAGCAAGATCTTTGCGTCTTCGCTGAGAGATGAGTCTGTCATGCTGAGTCGAGTTAGTACAAGATATGAACGAGTATTGTAAACTCCGGCAGTAGATCTCAATTGTCCAACGTGGAGTCAAATAAAGCGATAGAGTATGCAGATGGATGCGTGTACCTCTTTGTTCAAGCGAGAAAAAGTTTGAAGCGACCGAGGTGTAGATGAAAGAGGAATGAATTATCGTCATAGAATACTGGAACAATCGCGGGGTGAGAGGGGCACTTTGACGGGTCCCGTGACTTTCGATGCCCGTCTTTCGTCGTGGGCGCATGACAACCTTGTGAGATGACAGCCTGACCAGAGTATATAGTACTTGAATGCCAGACCCCCATCCTGATGCGAAAAATGCTAGAAAAAATCCCTACCAATACCCGACATGTACCAACTTGGAATCTGCGAGAAAGATTTTCCTTGTATTTATTATCCGAAATCTCGTTCCAAGGTTGTAAAGGCATGCTTACGTTATTGTTTGCTTGCTTGCCGAATGGGGACTGATCGCATATATGCGATCAGTCCCCATTCGGCAAGCAATGAATGAATAACTCCATTTACTCAACCACTCAAACTCGAACTACTTAATAACAACCTCATGGGCGGCGCCATATAATATCGGCCCCATGCCCTAGGTTCAAGACATACCTTCACCGAGATATCGCCAGCCCAGCGATCTATGGCGCACTGGCGACCATTCACAGGGTTTCCTCTCCCCGGATGAACTGCCAGGAATATTTGACCGAGACTGCTCAACATTACTACCGAACCCCTATGAACTCCGTCGGTCAAACGTACCAGCCATTTTGTACAGAGTGAATGGATGACCTCCATTTTATAATGGATTAAAGGCTCTATAAGTCCGAACTTTTGTCTACAGTCTACGCTAGAAAACTCATCTTTCTTTTTCTCTACTTATATTTGTATGTACATGCACCTCAGTATATTTGTGTTCTTCCAATAAGAGGTTGGAACCATGTCTCAATTATATGTCAACATTTTCCATTTAGCGTTTTGGAATGATCTGATCGGATGACGAATTGATGTACTGGCATTAATGGACATGCCCAAGTAGAATCCGATAATCGATTGAAAATAAAGATCAGTTGAGCCAACTTTGGGGCTGCTGTCCGCACTCTAGCGTTTTATGACAAAGTATCCAGATTGGGTGAATGATGAAAAGCCTATTACCAAAAGTCATTGCGGTAATTGACCGCTTCCTTGGTTTTTCAAAATCTACTGTTTTGTATGAGCCTGAAATCTGATCTTCGTACTTCGTTCACAATACTTTTCTGGTAAAGCTGAAAGCTATCTTTCGGGATCCCTTTCGATGTACCGAACACTAGAAAGCCTTTGCTTAATTGGTATAAATTTGAGAGATATTCCGTTCAAATTCAGCTTGGACATCACGAATGCATTTTTAAAAGATCACTCCCCGGTCATTGATTCCGAGACCTTGACACCCTAAAATCAAGAGTTTGTTGCTCCCTCCCGCAATGGATCTCAAAAGTCTTCTCGATCGTCAGGGTTCTCCACCCTTCCCTGGTGCTCCACCGCAGCAAGGTCCTTCTGCATCTCAGCACAACTCAAAGCGGTCAAATGGCTACATGGAAAATTCGATTCCATGCAAATTAGATCTCATAACAGGATCTTCGTCGGAAGCGAGGAAGCGAAGAGCAAACCGTGATGCATCTCGGCGATTTCGCAATCGCACACTGGAAGCAAAGCAGCTCAAGTCATGCGTGGAAACTCAGAAAAACAAGATCAAATTTCTTCAAACGCAGCTTGAGTTTTACAAATCTGAAAGGAATCACTATCGTGATGAGCTTCACCGCTATACTTCAGGCCAATTGCCATCAAGACCACCAACACCGCAACCCATACAGTCTACATGATCCCAAATCGCCATCTTCTAGTACAGCTCAACGAAGACGACCAATAGCAATATACAGGCGGTCTTTTGTGCTTTTCTTGTTCCAGCTTGAATTCCCCAAGTGTACTTAAAATCCGATAGTCTTTACCAACTGGGGAGATATCGTGTTCACATCTACTCTGTGAGATTCCTTAATTAAATCTTTCATGAAGATTTTCTTTTCTGGGTTTTCGGAAATACGATTTGGTTTTTTCTCATTCACGATTCATCTCGCACTTACATAGCAAGTAATCCGAAAGTGATATTTAAGATACAAATGGGGTTAATGAATTCAACTGGTCCCTCAAGTCGGAACGAAATAATAATATAGATTCCCAATTTCCAGCCAAAGGGTCAAGGCACATAAAATCGGCGCGTATTTGTGTAGTTCAAAATCATATTGATAACATAATGTATTGCCATATTTTTTTCTATTTGATTTGGGGTTGCTTATTATGTCATAATAGTAATAAAGTCTGTAAATTATCACTCACAAAACTTCTTAAATTTCACACACCAAATTAGCAAATGAGTGACGGAAAGGACTGGCTGCATGAATGTATCTTTTGTGAGCTCTTCAATCGCTACGCTCTTTTAATTCTGTACTCAGAGACCGATACATGGCGATGATTCCATACCTCGAGATAGATATAAAGTGATTTTCTTCTGTTCTTCAGCGTCCAAAAAAACATTTTTATCAACATGAGCCACCGCAATGAAGATAAACTCGGTGACCCTTCCCTACTCGACCGAATCGAGAGTCTGCCACCGGAGCTCATAGATTCGATTATCGAAGCCAGCATTTTCTCTGAACCAAACGGATCACACGAGGCCCTACACACGATGATGGAGCTATATCAAGAGCAAGTGAGAAGCATTATCAAGTCAAGAATTGAGGCTGTCTTCCAGAGTCGCTCGCTTCAGAACCAAATCATAGCAAATTGGAAGATGTTGCCTGATTTTTCCTATGATGAACCAAACCGGTTGAAAGTGGAAAAGGACGCATCCTACGACTTGGCCTCATGGTCTATCAAAAAGTGTTCACAGTGCTTCCAATTCTTGCTTCGTCGAAACACTATTGAAGCTGCATATTTCTGTCACACAGGAGAGAGCCTCTATTGGATTGCATATAAGGACAACAACCTCGAGCAGGGAGCTTTGATAGTAGCATCGATGAGCTATGAGAACCTGCTTCAGCCATTTTTGATAGATCGGTTGGGCGAACATAGCAAATCAATTTTGCAATCTTCTACATGGAGTGAGCCTTGGTTTAGAATTTGCTGGGAGCGCGTGAAATCACAACCACAGGGCGCATTGTCATCACTTGGGCCTTACGAAATTGGGCAGATTTGTCGCTTCGTGGATCCTGGGCTTGCTCAAACGCTGTTGGATCAAGGGTTGGAGTTAGGAAACGCCAACAGATCACCCTGGATCCACGTGGTGGCACAGGAAAACCCAGAAGCAATGTTTGAGTGGCTCTGGAATAAAAATTACCAGCCCCCTGGAAATATCTTGGAATATGCATCGACATGTTGTTGCACCAAGGCTGCAGGCTGGCTTATTGGTCACACTGAGTACCAAGACTGGAGTCGAGCTCTCTTTATTGCAGCTGGGAACACGGAAGCAAGAAGCGCGGAACTGTTTGAAGTCCTGATTCATCAAGAGCACTTTTTATCAAAAAGTGAAGTTTTGGTCTGCGATGTTCTCATCAAAATTGTGGATGAAGTGTGTGCGACATCCGATCAGTTTCACCTTGTTTACCGAGAGGGAATGTTTCCGGATTGGAAGGAGGACGAAAACGAGTTCCATGTCACAATTTTAGACTTACAAAAGATCGCGGAACGAAAGATCCGAGCGCTCAACCGGGTAGGTAGTGGAGTTGGACTTGTGGGCATGAAAGTGAAAACAAGGCACGCTGGATTGCACCAGTTGACGGAGGCTCTAGAGAAACTTAATTGGTGAAGTGTAGTTCACTGATAGTGATTACAATTTTTGCCAATATGTGATTGGCATTTGCGATACATGGATAGTAATGACTCTTTTGCCTTTTATGATGTGATAGACCATAGCACACTGCTGCTAACTTATAAAGTACCGTAATTCTACCCTAGGATCCAGTGGACTTTTCTTTTGGTTTTTCGCATCGATAAAGATGAGAAAAATTACTGTTCAATGGCTGGTAGAACAGACTTTGGGATGGATGCATTTTCAAGTTAGTGTTCCAGTCAATATTGCGTTTTGCTGGTCCCCAAATGATGATTCAGGTACGCATTAAACTTCACACGGATAACAATCCACCCCATCTTTGCTGACGTACGAAAAAAGACATGGAAAGAAGGCGCACCGACTCTCACAATGGGTCGCAACGATCAAACTCGACAGTTAGCGGCGATTGCATTGTTCTTCCAAGTCCACATTCCTTCCCAGAGATTCAATCCACCTCGACGATGAGACCGCGACTCGATGATGAATGCAGATCGGTGCAGCCAATATCCTCCTAAACCATTCTCCTATCATCGCACTGCGCCACTTGAAATGCCCAGACCTATCTATGAGTCTCCAATGAGTCTCCACCGAATACTAGTGTACGAAAGAGTGAAACTGTCGGGTTCCGCACCATATTTGGAACGATCTGGCCCCATTAACGGTAATACCCTAGAGCAACGACATGACCAGAGGGCTTGAGCCCATGATGAGCTATCTCTACATACTGGCGACAATGCATGTCTGTGGTTTCGTGATTTGGGGATTCACTGTTCCCAGGACATTGTGGATCATGAGAAAGGTGGACCAGATTTTGTCTTCGTGTTTCACAAATATGTTATAAATTTATAGGATATGGTCAACCAAATACTACATCGGGTGTTTTACAAATTCAAGTCTGATTCTAAATCGATGTGAGCGGACCCTTTGAAGCCAGGGTTTGATGGATTTTGATCCCTGTCCGAGCAGGATCTCCCAGAGAGCCACAATTTTGTTCAAAAGCCAGCTTGCCCCGGGATTTCAGCTGAAGCATTGTAAGACCAGTTCCCTGCAGCTACCATGGATTCTTCTCTTGGCACTCCATTATCTCAGACACCCGCATTGGTTCATGGACGCCTGTCATTCTCACAACTACTTTTCATACTTTGTTATACACATCTTCTTTCATGTCTACCTTCGGCGGTTGGAGATTACCGACCGATCCATGATCTACTCTGCCGTCACAAAAGGGACTGGGTTCCTTGCATTGGCGGGGAAGAGTTCCTCTGAGATGAAGCAAACACAATGGCACACGACCGACCAAGCGACGCAGAGAATTTGGAAGCAGATTCACAAATGGATGCTATCGCAGAATCTTGTCCCACCTAGTATATCGGCAGCGGAGCTTCGAGACCACCTGTGTTCTCTTCTTTGTCAGATCGAACAAGTATCCGCCCAAGGCCTTAATGCACTCCAGCTAAGGCGCGAAACATGTTTGGTACCAAGAGTACCTGTCAATAGCAAGGGAAGCGTGGTGCTTCTCTGCATGAGTGTTTCTGTGGTCTCAATCGCATCCGAGATCACCACCTTTGGCTTCACGGAGGACCCATGCGCTATGCGATTGATGCTCAAACATCTTCAGCAGTCGGCGCTATTCCCAGATGTTGTGTATTTGAATCAGATCAAGCCAGCGATTAGCTCACTCGAGTTACTGTTGTGCAGTGGAGATGACCTGATGGGCTCCCTACCCCAAACCAACACTCCGGTTTATAACCACTCCGCGAGGAGTGCATACGCGACACAATCAGACCAGTACAGGCAAGATACTGGAGTCCAGCAATCATATTGCATTTCGCAATATGAATTTACAGAGCATTGTGAGGAATCTTACGGGACACTGGCCCCCAGGAAGCGCCGGAAAATGGCCACTGCAAGGGGTACTCAATGACAGAGGACATGGAAGACGGTAGAGTCCTGATTAACCTCGGTCATCAAACATTTATCGCGGTTCACTATGTGGACGCAATTGCAAATTCAGACCAATCCTTAAAGTCGACCTAGAGGCTGTTAGTAGTGGCTCAAGGGGGGTTATGTCTGATTATTAACTGTCCAATAGCGTTGGTGCCCTCCAGCTTTGAGATAGTAGCTCATCGAGTGTAGATCGATCAAAAGCAGCATTCATACGGCTTATTCCATGTGCATATGTGGATTCCATGGCCCCAAAGAGGAGATCTGTGTTCAGATGCTTGAGCATGGGAGATAGTCGCAACGATGGACGTAAACAATAACCAGTGTGTGCTTCATTTTCAATGATCTCAAAGTGAGAAAAACCTACGCTAGCCTGGCTTCATGGCTTGTAAGTACCCTGCTTACGTGCAGCTGATACATTCGAACTACAAAGGACCCTCGGAAAAGACGTCACCGAGGATGGAAAATGCCTCAGAAAGAAATATTCAACATCTCCAGAACAGTCGAATCTACTTCGATGCCGCGTCAATCTTGCTCGAACTGATCACATTTTCCACAAATAGGTGCAGGCAATGGTGGCCACTTCCTGATTAGGAATCTACTCGCGTAGATTCCTTTCTGGGTTTAAAACCAGACTCGACCCGCCGGCGATGTCCGAGGTACCTCTTCAATATTATGTCTCAGCGAATATTTGATTTCCATGGCGACGATCAAGCCTACATCAACTTTCTCGAATGCCAGCTGATCAGCGCTCAATGGGCTAGTCTCATGGACTTTCCCAATCCTGCGGGTGAGGTTGTCATGCAAGAGCCGCCTTCCACGAGTAGCATTCAATTTGTGCAATACACTCCTTCGTTTCCTCCAGCCCGTTCTCAAACTGTTGAGCGAGGTGAGCCACCGTGGAAGAGGCAGCTTGACGACTTCATTTCTGCTCTTCCCACCGAGAAGACCTGGGACGAGGCGAGGGAAAGGGCTGGAATCAATACCTTAAACAAGAACCAAATGGCGGTGCGGCTGATGCTAGGTCATACGAATCCTCTTGCATTCCGCTCGGCACAAGACACTGCGATGATCTCTCGCACACTTCCATCAGAGAATCAGGACCTGGTGGAGAGAGGCTACCAATATGCACAGTTTATTCAGTACTGTTTGGGTGATCTCGACTTCAAGAAATCTGTGGTATCCTTCCAGAGCTTGATATTTGCCAGCTACTGCACAGTCTTGATTCAAGTTGGAGTATCGAAAGCTACGACAAATGATATGATGAGGCAATATATCGATCGGAACAACGATGATAGCACTCTCGAGGGGTATCGTCGGGGGGTGGTATGGATCAATCGATGCATTGCAGGTCTCCTTGCCAATGGCTGGGGGCACAAGAGCTGGGAGATCTTCCTACTCGGTAAGTCTCACGATCCCCGACGTGACTAAGACTAAGCACGACTGGTTTAGAGAAGCGGTCGTTGGCACAGTTTGCCCGATTCGCAGCCTACGACGCGCAAAGCTACGAACAGCTGGTGCAGCGGCTACAGAAAGCCAATGTTCCATTGCAAGAAGAGGGCTGGATACCATACTGTATCCCCTGTATCGTGCAGTGTTTAACGGGCAACAACGTTGAGTTCGTCATCACCGAAGCCATAGAGAATCTCCACTGACCGGCCGTGCTAGACTGCGGCGCATATGTCAAATTCTTGGCTACGGACAGCTCCAGGAATCCCTCATCCTATCTTTGTCCTCCGGGTTCCTGAATTCCTTCAAACACTTGGCTGGCGAGCCAGCTGAACAATCGGTTGGTACCAGCTTACCACCCGCAAAGGCTTCGCGGGAGTGAAATGGAACTATGTCTGCTCCATCCTCTCTCCCACGACCAAAAAGTCCGCCTCAGGGCTGATCACGATATCCATGTGGAATATGTAATAGTATCCAAGCAGCAGCGTTTCGACCCCGTCCCGGAGATTGATGATTTCAGGCACACCGGAAAGAACCTTGATGGGGATCAGGAAGGATGTACGGTACGTGGAGACCATTTTGTTAATGGATGTCCGAAACATCTTGTACTGGCGTCCCTACTTTGATCAATATGATTCCTGTGGCGTTGATCGTGTCTGACGAACTTGTAACCCCATCACTTCGAGGAGAGGGTTGACCAACGGTGCCAGTCTAGAGACCTCGTAAACTCGGTTTCTATGTTCATCGAAAGTGTAGTCTGCCCCCGGGATCCGAAATGCAGAGACCCATTGAACCAGTAGCCGTCGGTGAGACTCGGCCTCCCGCGTGAGCAGGAGAGGACCAACCATTCTTCTTGGATAGAGTTCATTTCCCATCTGTGCCATGGCAACGATGTTCTCTCAAGCCAGCTGGATTCGAGATCGAGGTAAATATCATGGACTGGCTGGACCACGAACCAAGATTGGCTTACCCGCTCGCTGGACCATGGCTCAAAGGGCGGGCGGGGATCGCGGACGGAATAGAATCACGTGAAAGGACGTGTTTTCGATGTCGGCCCTTGGGTCAGAAATTGCTCTTCGAGGACACACTTGGTTGCGTACGCTGTGAATTGGAACGTTCAGTGAAGAAACTTGGATGCACTAGAATATTTAGCACGGATTTGAGTTATATATCCCTGCATTGAGAGCCGTGGTCCTTCCAGATTTACAACAAGGCTTCTCATGGGATGTGTACTCTTAATGGTAATTTCCCGAGCCTGTGTTGTGATACTTGAAACTTTGCCACGTCCAGAAACCCGGTTCTCTTTTAATATACAATCAATTTCAGGGCTAGTTTGGACTAGCTTTTCGCGTAAAGTATGTCTTGGAAATGGCTGTATAAAACCCTTTCCCCCCACACGCAATGGCTCCTTTACACAATTACCGGAGCAAGCCTTATCTCAGAGCGGAGCCAGGACGAAGCAAAAAGTGGGAAAGTGTCGTACACCCTCTCGTTCAAAACTTCTTCTCGCTTCGCATTGCAGCGAGCGACCTTTTATCTGCGCAGATATGAAGCCAAGAAGGTATCGCAATGACATCGCTTGTATCTTCGAGTTGGTCATGACCGACAGCCATTTCTATCAGCTTGCAGAGATGCTGTTGGGCGGACTTACCGCCACGGAAATATCCCTGGTAGCGCATCTGCTCGGGATAACAGACAGTTTCCTTTACGCCAACAAATACCTCAATCCTCTCAGGGAACTGGATCCTTTCATGGTTTATTTTCTGCCACTTATACAGCAAGGCAATCGGCTCCTGATTCTTGGCGATGGTCTTGTTGCCCTGATGGAGAGAATCCAGTCTCCAGCCACGTACTGGGGTAATCCGGTGGCTGCACCGCCGGAGATTTGGATTGCGGCTATTTCGCCCACTGAGCCCCATCATGAAGCATCGGAAGCCTCTCATGACTATTTGATTCATCCGGCGGAGAGCAAGTACCTGTCCAGAGACCCTGATACTAGCATGCCAACGACGCGCTCCAAAGATACATCCTTGTTTCTGAGACCTCGACATCCTAAAATCGAGAGCCAGTGGTCGAAATACATGTGCACCGTGGGCTCATGCTCTTTTGAGATTGATTGGAATGATCTGTATAGCGACATACAGCCCACATCTACTCTTCCATACATCGACGCTACAGAGGAGCCCCACAAGATCAAATTCTCAAGGGCCGATGCCACACTGGAGTTCAAGTCGGATATTCATAATGAAGATCGCTCGATGGTGCTATGGAAGAAAAAGCACAGCCTCGCTTCAAATCACCTTTTCACTGGGAGGGCATTAGATGAAATTGGGAGGAATATCTTAGACGAGGTGAAGTTTTCGTTTAAGTTTCCTTTCGGAGGATGAATTCACGGATTAAATTCAATGCTCGACCTGTCCTTACTGGATACATGTCTTCCATTCAGACCGAAATGAGCTGCCGTCGGTAATGTTCTAAGAGTGTATTCATGCGAATCAGTTCAAAATCGAGCCAGCAGATGAGTCGTTGATCATTCGTCGCGTAGACGGACCGCGTCACCAGGTTGTATCGGTTTATCATTTGAACCAAAGCGCTGACTGCAGTCTCCAGATATGAACGACCGATTTCGGCTGCAAAAAGTGGATCAGAGCTCAACAGACGCAGATGACTCGCGTCAGAAAAATGGTCACGGATTCTCTTGACAGTGAGTTCGTCTTCAACTGCCAAGTCAAATTGATTTTTGCCCAGAGAAATGGCCAGGATGATAGCATATTCGAGACCGGGTTCTATTGATTGAATCTCTGATTGGATATGGGCTAGGACATGGCATTTGTCCGATCCATGGTCGCAAACATCGCAGTCCAAAAAAGCTTGGATGCGCATGGTCTAGGCGTCGGTTGTCAGTCATGATAATGGCAGCAACAAGCCGGCAAGGGATACTGACTATAAGACGTTCCATCCGAAATCCCCTGTGCCACACAGTAAAGAGTGGCGAAAAGCTTTCCATACGAATATTTTTGGGGGGAACCGCAGCTAGATATAGTGCAATTGGTCTCTGTTGGGAGACAAATAGTCACCGCTAATCCGCAGGAAGCCTCGTCCGGTGATGTACATTCGAGTCCAAAAAAAGGAATCTATTGGTGACATAGTATAATATAATTATTATTTTGGGATGACATAGCGCCATTGAGATCAATTTCAAACAAAATGTAAGTACGTATACCTCGCCGCCTCAAACGGCATTTCCTAGTCGTCGAGTATACCATGGGAACGAAGCTTTTGTGCCCAAACCATTTGATACATCAGAGCCATCATCGACTTTAGTGAGGCGGTGTCGGTGGTATTCGTATAATGAACGTAGATGTCACGGCCCTGTGTTTTATTGATTTGCTTGAAAAGGCCGCCAAAATATTCCACCGCACCCCACAAGGTGGTGTCTGAGTCGTTGAATTCAGGAAAATGTCCATAGATAGGTGAATGACGAAGCTTTTCTTCGAAAATATCCAGTTTGTCCAAGACAAGTAGAATGGGTTTGCTTTTGAAGTAATCGCCATTGGCGAAGGAGTCGAAGAGCTTCATTGCGTCCCGCATCTCGTTCTGCTGTCGCATTAGAACTCAAGGTTTAACAGTTTCGGAATCGACACGCACAGTGCAGTGACCATCATCTAGAGACTGGTCATAACTCGATAGCGGGACCACAAAGATAAGGTAATCCACGTCTCCAAAGCACGGCATCCACTTTCTTCTTTCTAAAGATTGACCACCTAAATCCACGATGCGCCAATTTAGGTTGGCTTGCGTGAAAAGGATTTCGGTAGCTCCTCCACTTTGACCATGGATGCGAAGAATATCCTGCAGTGAATGCTCAGAGTTGCCGTCCGAGGAAATTATCCGCATTTGATCGACAATGGTCGATATGCCCGAATGGTCGGGCCCTAAGACTCCAGTCTGGTTAGAAAAACTTCCCATGAAACAAATTGATCTGGCCCATACAGTACGCACCCAATAAGAGAAAAGTGGTAAAATTTCTCGCTGCTCTCTTTTCCGATTTGATAATTCCGTTGATATGAGAGCTACGACGTGATGCTCCATCGTCCCCATTGCTTGCTGTGGTTTTTAGTCCTATCCATCCGGCGACCAAATTCAATGCGAACATGAGTTCAGATCTGACAAGTGTGTTAAAAGGACACTGATCGCTATAATTTCCGGGGTTAATGATAAATGCTTAGTCACAAGGTGAATGACGACTCGATTGCGCACCCGACAAAGATGGGCTATCGAGTCACTTGTCGTCGTTTCCAACTTAACCGTACATTGATACAGCAGGAACAGCTGGATATATCCGTGACCAATAACTTCACCTCTTATTACTCCCAGAAAGACCAGTTGAGTTACAACAGTTCGTCTTGCAGCAACTTTTGGCAAACCTATTACGCCGTGAATGGAACTACCGCATGTCATAACACGCCCCCCTTCACCTGTCACCGGTTGTGGAATAACCCAGGACTGCCCTGAATAAATGAAAAAGAAGAAAAAACCATGGTAGCAATTTTCTGCACTTGTTGCCTGTCGATCCGAATAGCCTCCTGACCCGGAAATCTCGAAAGTCACAGGACATCAAAGCGACCTGGGACGTTCAACAGTATCATTTGTCGATAGCAAACTTGTCTTTCACACAATCCACTGCATGCATGCTCATTCCCGAATCAATCCAAACAGCGCCAAGGATGGCTTCCACCGTCGTTGCACGAGTGCCCAGTGTGATGTGGCCTTTTTGTGCCGGATGCCCGTTTATAAAGTCGTCTATCTCAGACGCCTCACCTTTGCAGCTCAGGTTTTTGTTACAGGCATTAGACTGCAACATATCGTTTCCGCTTTCTGCGTCTAGTTAGAAGTAGTGATACAATTGGTGGACCACAGCGCAACGTGCCGATAGTATCTTCGCTATTGTACCATTCATCCAAGAGCGAAGTGGACAGAACGGAATCACCAAGAAGTGCCAGTCGCTTGTTGCCTTGCAGGGGACGGGTTCCAGCTGGATGCACAGCCTCTTCCAATAGCTCAGTGGTATTGAAGTGATAGCCAAGTCGATCTTGAAGCTCTTCCATTTTGAGTAGACCTGATATTCGACGTAGGATTCTTGATGGATAGCTCAAGCCGCGATCAAATATCGTACTACTTATGTATCTCAGCGTGGCAAAACTGCGCTCCTCAAGGACCTGTCAAGTGTTTATAAGAGAAAAGACAGATGAAAGACAGACTAATCATTGACTGAAGACAACTTCCGTTCACGGATGAGCCGAAAATCACCAACTTTGAATCAGAGACCAGGAGACCAAGAACATGGATGAAGGCTTCTCTATTGACCGGATCCGAGCATGCCAAGGTGCATGAGATGTTGCCACAGAGAAGCGTACACCTGTACCCCGCCAGCCGATGACCAAATCTTGATAGTCGGTGAAGAATGCCAGCCTATACTAGTACGGTGACATAGACAACCGTGGTGAAAAAAGGAACTCTATTGGATTGACAAAGAGGAAACAAAAAAATGGCTGAAGTCCTCCAGGATCACACGTGAGAGGTTGAAAGTGACGGGCAGAGCTTGGATTGGTGCTGAAGGATCTTGACGCAAATATTGAACAACAAAACCTGATATCACGCCTATGACAAGCAATCACGAGATCAAAAGCATTCAGAGTTCCCAGCTTCCCACTATGTTCTGCACAAAGACCTGTGGATCAAGAAGTGGCGTAGAAATGGAGGGGTGAATGCGAGACAACGGAACCGAACTCGAGATGGTAGCATTGAACTCCACCCTGGGCCATATAGCTAATTGGAATAATGATCGTCCAGCGCTCTTCATACTTTGCGTGGTAGAATTCTGCGAGAGGATGCCATTTACTTGATCACGTATCCTCCATAAGTTGCTCAGCATTGACTCGACTCGTGGAAGGAAGAATGGATACTCCTCAACAGCCTCTTCAGTCTCTATATTGAGCTTACTGAGCCGGATTTCGATCCAGTCTACCCGATCCAAAAGCAAGAATGCGGATACATAAAGGAAAATATCATCGCCGCAGGTGTCTGGCGATAATGGATCTGGCCCCATCCAGCTGAAGGCTGGGAAGTTTTCGTAGCTGGGATAGAAAACATATTCGATGGCAGAAGTCTTCTCGGCCCCATGTTGAGCAGGCTCCGGCCATCTGTCGAGCGATGAATCTGAGGAGACGGTGCTGCGACTTTCGGCAAGGCAAGGTGGCGGTGTCGGCATATTGGGGAATTCTCTCCAGATTGACTCCAGATCAAGATCCAAATCGTAGTCTAGAAAGATCATCAGCGCCGACGTGGAGTACTGAAGAAATATAAATTGACCAATTTGATCAAGCTGCTTCATTGTTGTCATGATCACGTTGACGGAGAAAGTTAATGGAGATAGGACTTGAGGGTTTCATTGGGTCTAAATAAATATCAGAATGGCTAGCTTTTCTAGGCTAGAGCATCTCATCGAACAGATGAAGTAAAGAAACCTAGAGAGGCCCTCAGGCTTTGGCCATGTCCAAGAAAAGTCTATGCTACCCATTGATGTGTTCTCCTGATGAACATGCAATTCGTTTAGTTCAATTTCTGTTGGAGATGTGGATTGGTGGTGAGGTGTCGGGAAGGCCCGCTCATGCCCCACCCGTTGAACTTTCTACCGGTCGGTCCTGCCGGCATGGTTTAACATAAGAACCGCACCGGTCACACCGTGTTCTTTGCCCTTATGCCTCGAGTCTTGGTCGAACGAAGCGAACATAGCTCTTCTGTTCCGGCCGAAACTCATTGCATCCCACTTACCTGAAACGACTGTCTCTCACTATTCTGCAATGTTCCGATAACGCCCTGTTGTACAGAGAAGAAGACCTGACGACGATCCCACAGCAGCAGCTCTTGGTGATTGCAGCACTGCTGGAGCCTTTCTTTCTCCGCCACCAGCCATTCCTGTGAGCTTTGCAGGAAGCGACGTTCCTCTTCCAGGCGTATTTTGCTGGCCGACTTGATCGTGTAGCAGTCCCACAAACACAGATAGAGGTCCAACAGCTCGACAGCGGACGATGATAAGAAAGAGGTACATGTATCGTGCTGCAGGATCTGCATCATATGACTGGTCAGTGAGCAGGCTGCGTTGATCGAAGTGGTCTATGTTTTTATTAATGCTGGCCACGACAGGACAACGTAGAATCTGACCTTTGTCTCGCCCGGTGACGCTCGCTTCGAAGAGTCTATCGCTTGTTCGGAGCCCTCTTGCACGCCAACTGGGTTGCCCATCTGATCGGAAGATTCACGCTTCCTTTTATTCACTTGTCCTGCAGAAGGGTCCATTGAACTGTCGATACTCTGAACTTGGTCGTTATTCAGATGATAGAGATAGGAAGCAAGACGCAAGTCTCTTAGGCACATGGTTTCTTTTATATGGAGAGTTGAAAGGACAGAGTACAGTACAATATCTTCTAGGGTTAACCGATTGTAATCGAGAACAGGTGCCCACCACGCGGTTGTCAATCTCAATAACCATGCCCGCACTGTTCTGCTGCTATTCAATTCCATACAGAACTAGAAAATGTTAGAGAATGCCTTGCCTTGTGTGAAACCCCATGCATCTTCAGTCAATCATGCCCAGCCACACAAACATATATGAGGGACGGCAAGCAACAGCGGGTGTGTGCGGAAACCGGTCAAAGTCTCTTTAAACCAGCTCATTCCTTAAAATGAGAAAAATACGAGGGGCTTAACCACAACCATGGACAGTGTCGGTTTGCGGATTGCTTAATTGATAACTTACATCATCACATTCAAATACAGAACTCATCATTGGCATAAACTCACCCAAATCTCCAGTTCGTTCACGTCTTGTCCCAAAGCCCCAGCTTTCCGAGCCTAAGGTACTACCCTCAGCCTAACTTGCGGAATGATCCAATTCAGTCGCTCGTACATCAAATTGAAGACGTACTCACAACAAAGGATTCAAATATGATTTGCGCAAGCAGAAATCCGAGGGACCCGACGCAAATCACATGCCTAAATTAGCATAAACAAGCCTCTTTGATGGGGGCATGCGAGGATGGCTACCTCTTGGAGCTTTGAGTACTGATCCTAGACCGTTCGTAGCCTCTAGTAAAAAAAGCATGATCCTTGATAACTGACACGTAAATTACAGTAGTACTTCGGGAACAAAGGCAGGATCTCTGCGGCGTTACTAAACTGATCGGGAAGAAGCCGTCGAGGCGACTCCGATTAAAGTACAGACAAGCGCTAACCGCACCCCGGGTAGCTGCATAAAACCATTTAGGCCCTGTCATCACGCGTTCGCAACTCTACAGACAGAAAGAGCGTCTAAGCACGCAAGAATACGATAAGTAGCAATGCTCTAGTTCCTCTGATCACGAAAGTTCCATGGCACTAATGCTATGGCCCGAGAAGATGGCGGGTCAAATCGGGCCAATGTTCATTGTCACAAGGCTGAAAAGGATATTAGTGCCAATTTCTGAATTCCAGGCGATTATAAAAACCACATCTGAATACTGACGGGATGTGACCTGAATTCTGCGCATATGAGACTATTTCTTATGGCTCGGGTGACACCGACCCGGAAGCGGTAGACACAGAGCAAGAGACTCAGCAGATTCCAAGACCGCGGTCTCGAGACCTGCCGGGTCATTAGACTGCCCACCAACGTACCCTACGGTTTTGAGACGCGCACAGCCTTGAGTCTTAGATCTCAAAATGCCCAAATTCCATCATTGGCATCAATTAATATCTCAAAATGGCCCAGCCCTTATAGGCCAGCTCGGCAATGGTACGGTTAGGAATAAAAAAATCAAGAACGGTAGTATTAGGTGCCCAGAGGAAGAACAGTTTGTTGTTGGGCCAATAATGAACTCATCTGTGGTGAAGCAATATGGACAATGCTTCGAGCTTTGGAAATTCTAGTAGCGGTGAGTTTGGTTGCATATTCTTAGTTGCGTTCAAGCTCAATTTGTTGTGGGAGAAGAACGTTTGAAATATCTAGGTGGCTTTAACCCACGGGTGGTCCACCAAGTTTCAATTGATGGTCATTTTTGATACGAGAAACCGTCCATCAGCTCTCTTCCCTTTCTCTGCTGAAAAGCTTGGCCGTCAACGCTCGCCTCAACTTGAGAACTCAATCAAGGACTACCGCAATCCAATAAAGGCTTCCGCATATCAATATCTCGCGCGATGTCGGGTCCTCTGGGCAGGAAAATCAGGGAGAGAACCATCCACTTTCCATCAGGGCCTACTCAAAACTGACGATCCAATCAGAGACCCATAATCAAGCAAGCAGATAATCCGAAACCATCGAGTCGACGTATACTCCAGAAATCACAAGGACTCTGAACGTCAAGGGGGCCAAACCGTGTTGGTGCCTTTGGTGCCTGAGGCATGAGTTAACTCGAACCAAGGGGGTGAGTAAGCTGGTAAACCTCTGGACGCATTTCGCCCTGACGGGCCACTCCCCCGCGCCAGACAGCGAACCTCCTACTATGCTGACTTTGATTTGCATCATTCATTTATTTGCTTGATACTGATCTCAACAAAGGATGGAGGAAACAATCGCCGAGCTACGACATCAGCTTGAGGAAGAGAAGAAGGCGCGAGAAGAAGAGAAGAAGGCGCGACAAGAAGAGAAGAAAGCGCGAGAAGAAGCACAGCGCCGTGAAGTAGCGGAGAGAGAAGCGCGAGAAGACGCAGAGCGCCGTGAAAGAGAAGAGAGAGAAGCGCGAGAAGAAGCAGAGCGCCGTGAAGGAGAAGAGAGAGAAGCGCGAGAAGAGGCAGAGCTGCGAGTGCAGTCCAACACACTGTTTCGCCTTCTCGATCGTTGCCACAACTCTTTATCTCAATCGATCCGAGTCGAGACGGATGCGAATCTCACAACTCAGGGCGACGCGACCAACCCAGTGAACCGACTTTACCCCAAGCGCATAGTCCCTTGGCTTGACTTCCCTCAACTCCAAGAACAAGTCTGGAGGAAAATCGACCGCGCGGGCGCCTTCACCTCGCACCCACTCTTCCCTTCTGATACCCAAATCGATTACGTTGTTACGAATATCCAGAACAGGCCGATCTATTCGGAAGCGTCTCTTCGGAACTTTGAGCGAGATACAGTGGATAACTTTGTCGAGAAAGTCATTAAGGCGTTGCGAGATGATGAACTCCTTCGACATGAGTTTGGAATCCAGGGCCGAGTCACCTTCTATGACCGCGCGAATCTATCAGAAACTTCACTGGAGAACAGCTTGGGACAAATGAATCTTCAGGACGCGCGGACACAACGACCAGCGAAAACTAGGCATGGAAAAGGCAGAGGAAGGGGGAAAGGAGCGGCTCAGAAACAGGAGAGGGAAGGCATTACACGAAGACGCAATCGGCGCGCCGACCAGTTCTGCGTCCATGTTGTGGCTGATGAACGAAAAATACCAGTGTATGCAGTGGAGTTCAAAGCGCCGCACAAGGTGACAATCCCCGAATTAGTAGCGGGTCTACACCAGATGGATCTAGCTCGCGATGTCATTGACCAGGAAGGTGACACGTTTGAGTTTTATGCCACCCACCTCGTCGCTGCGGTAGTCACTCAGATATTCTCATATATGATTGACAGTGGAGTTCAATACGGCTACATCTGCACAGGAGAAGCTTTTGTTTTTCTCCATATCCCGAAGGATGATCCCACAGTTGTTCAATATTTCATGTGTATCCCGAACCAGGACGTGCAGGCGGACGATGAATTGCGTCTCCACCGGACCGCCATCGGTCAGGTGCTTGCATTCACCCTTCAAGCGCTAGCCGCCGAAGCTCCGTCTCAAGAGTGGCATGATGCGGCACACGATAAGCTAAAGACCTGGGAGGTCGAATACCTGGATGTGTTAAGAAAAATCCCCGAGACTCTCCGTAAAGACCCGCGAGCCTCCGATTATCGACCCTCGCACTGGAAACTAGAGCCGAAGACGCACAATACACGATCCCGTGCTCGCTGCAAACAAGACATGTCTACTCCAAAGCATTCGTCGACCGAAGGCAGTGGCAGTGATGAAGAATCGCATTCGCCCTCCACCGCTGCAGCGGCTCGCAGCAGGTCGAGCCGTGGCCGAGGCAACAACCGCCAATCAACTAAGGAAAGCGAAAGCAGACGAGCCGGTCGGGACAACAAACAGACCTCTTGGAAAGACGGGCAGTCTACACGACCCTACTGCACAATTGCCTGCATCCGCGGCATAGTCAACCGAGGCCCTCTGGATAAAGAGTGTCCTAACTGGAAACTCCACGGTGATCAGAGACACTCCATGGGACCGCAGGAGTTCACACGTCAGCTTCACAGTCAACTTGCCAGAAACCGAAACCACGGGTTTGAACAACTCCATGTCTGTGGTCGGACGGGTTACCTCATCAAAGCTACTCTTCTCTCACACGGATACACTGTGATCATTAAGGCTACCACGATGGAGAAGCAGCATCTCCTTCAAGCGGAAGTGGACAATTATCGCTACCTCAGGAGCTTGCAGGGACACCAGATCCCCGTCTGCCTTGGGGCCTTTACACCCCGCGTTGCGTATTGGTACCATGGCAAATCAATGGCGCAGATGATGATACTGAGCTGGTCTGGATCACGACTTCAGCATATCATCAACGATGAAAATTTTGGATTCTTTCACCAGGAGCGCGACAAAGCTCTGACCGTGCTCCAGTCGTGTGGAGTGGTCCATGGCGACAGTGAGTGGCGCAATATGTTGTGGGATGACCTAGGTAGCCGTCTGATTGTTATTGACTTGGAGGACGTGAAATGGTTGAAGCGCCCTCGTACCTTTGAACCAACTTCTGGAAATGCACGGCATGGTCATCGCGCGAAGGTGGGAAAATCCGGGCAAAAACTCTTGTCCAGCTCAACCGCTGTTTGCACATGACGCCCAGGCCCATGGCTACAACTCATTTGAGGCGATTCATGTTCTCGGCTTCCGATAATGAGTCGGAAGGAAGTTTTGATAAGTGATCGCACTTTCTGTTACTGGTCATAAAAACAATTTGCGCCAATTGTGGAAGGTATTCTAAATATATGTGATGAAAGCTCTGAAAAGACTTATTATTGGCGACGTCAAACTTATTTTCCTTGCTACAACTTTCTCGACCGCTCTTCTCCCTGAGTGTTTCACGTTTCAGATGTCCCGGCCCCTCCTTCTCTTCCTTGTCAATACTTTGCTTTCGTCACCCAGCTCTCCACGCAAGAGACAGCATCTGAAGGTGACTTCTTCCGCTCCAAAAGGAACGATAGAACTTCTGCCGGGCTGAATACTTGCTCCGGCATCTTGCTG